CGATGTCCCCTGCCGCCCCCCCGCAGTAGCCCCGTCCCCAAAGGATGCTTCAGCCCTGCCCCGGCATCGCCGACCCCCCCGGGGTGCCCGCAGGGCTCGGAACGTGCCCCTCGGGAGGGAGCCGAGTCAGGGGGACCCCCGCTGGCTCCCGTACCCCCTTTCCAGGGTGGGGGCCGCCTCGTTGCCCCCCAGGACCTGCACTTTCACACGAAGGACTGGTGCCAAAAGAGGAGCGATTTATTTTTCTATGCCAAAATAAATATAAATAAAAGAAAGAGGAATTTAACAAAAAGAAGGATATGGGGAGAGCCCGGCAGGAACCAGCTGAGACCGGCACAACTCATTTTGGCAGTGCCCTCGGCGGCACAGCCCCCTCCCCGCGCCCCGGCCCCCCGCTCTGCCGCCAGCCGCCCTCCCGGGACGGGGCTGGCCGCGGGATGGGGGCGCGGGGGATCCCCGCTCTAACCCCCCCCAGACCTTTTTGGAGTATAAATAAATATTTTGCACACTGCGGGGGCTCGTGTCTCTATCGGGGGAGGGGGTTTTGGGGGTGCCCCCCACCCCTGACGGGAGGCAGGGCGGGTGCCGGGGCTGGCTGGCCCAGGGGGCGGGGGGGCACAGCCGGGGTCGGGGCTTACTGGAGCAGAAAACTCCGGGAGAAGTGGAGCGGCACCCGGCCGAGCCCCGCGGGGCTGGCAGCGCGGGGGGCACATGGGTGCGGGGGGGTCGGAGCACGGCCGGGAGCTGAGACCACCCCCGGCCCAGCCAGCCCCGCCCGCTGCAGCGCACACAGCGCTGGCCCCGGAGCCGAGCCCCCCCACAGCCCTGCAGCCGCTATTCAGACCCACCCCAGCTCCATGGCCAATCCTCCCTGGACCCTCACATCCCCAACACCCCTTTTCACCCCAATCCCCTCTGGCCAGACCCCTCACCCATCCTCCCGCACCCCTCTGTAAGCCCTGCTGCCATCAAACCCCGTTCAACCCCATACACCGCACCCCAATCCATCCATCCATCCATCCATCCATCCATCCATCCATCCATCCATCCATCCATCCATCCATCCATCCATCCATCCATCCATCCATCCATCCATCCATCCCATAAACCGCACCCCAATCCCCTCCATCCATCATCCCCCGTTCAACCCTATAAACCCCGCCCAGACCACGCCCATCTGACACTGACCACGCCCCCGCGGCTCTCCGCTCCTTTCCAGGCACGCCCCGCCCCCACCTCCCGCCGACAGGCCACGCCCCCCAAAATATAGCCCCGCCCATTCCTTCCTCTATTAACCCCGCCCTCCGCTGGCCAGTCCGTCCCTTCCCAGAGGCCCCGCCCCCTTCCCCACAAGCCCCGCCGGCAAGGAGGAGCGCGAGGGCGGCGCGGCGGGGCCCGGCGCAGCCGGGCCGGGCGCTGGGGGCGCGGGCGGCGGCAGCCCCGAGAAGAGCCACAGCGCGCAGGAGCACAAGGAGCAGGGGAACCGGCTCTTCGGCGGCCGCAAGTACCCCGAGGCCGCCGCCTGCTACGGCCGCGCCATCGTGAGTCGCAGCGGCGCCCCCGGCCCGAGCGGGACCGGCCCCCGGGACGGGAGCACCGGGGAGGGGACACCCGCAGCGCCGTCCCCAAGGGCCCGGCCTGGGTGCCGCCGGGACGGGACTCCCCGGGAACGGGACACACCGACCTCCCCCCTGGCCCCGATGGCTCCAGGCTGGAACCTCCCCCTTGGCCTGGACACCCTCCCGGAGCTGGCCTGGCCAGCGCTGGCGTGGGGTCCCCGGGGGTGGGACACCCTCGCCACACACCGGGCCTTGATGCCCGCAGGATGGGCCTTCCCCCAGCCTGGACATCTCCCGAGGCCTGGCCTGGGCATCACCAGGGTGGAACCTCCATGGGCTGGGCACTGTTCTTCCTCAGGGCCTGGCCAAGATACCCCTGAGATGGGACCCTTTTAATCTGGACACTGTTCCCTCACTGGGTCTGGCTCCTCCTGGGAGGAGGACACAGCTCTGCGCCTGATTCCCCCCTCCTGGGCCTGGACTGCCACCCCTAGGCCTGGCCTAGGCACCCCCCGGCCCTGGCCCCTCTCTGGACTTGGACACCCCCAGCCCATCCTCTCCCCCACCCAACTCCAAGCTGGACTCAAGCCCTGCACCCTCCCACCCCCCGAGTGCTCCCAGCCTGAGCCTGTTTCCCCTAAACCCTGCACTGTCCCTGGGCCCTGCTGGGTAGGGCAGACCCGCCCTGGGACAGTCGGAGTGCCAGGGGGACAGTCCCCTCTGGGGGCAGGGACATGGGCTGCCCTATGAGGACCGGCCCCAGCCTGTCCCAGTCCATGCCAGCACCTCCCCACGGGGTGCACGCCCCGGCTGGCACTGCTGGCCCTCCCTGCCCAGGGTGACAGCGCCGCGCCGCTGGCTCACCGAGTCACCGGGCTGTCACCCGGCCGCCAGCACGTCCCGGCGCTGCCGCCGCCACCAACATGGGCCTGTCCCCGCAGAACCGGAACCCCTTGGTGGCCGTGTACTACACCAACCGGGCCCTGTGCTACCTGAAGATGCAGCAGCACGACAAGGCGCTGGCCGACTGCAAGCGGGCGCTGGAGCTGGACGGGCAGTCCGTGAAGGCTCACTTCTTCCTGGGCCAGTGCCAGATGGAGATGGAAAACTACGACGAGGCCATCGCCAACCTGCAGAGAGGTGAGCGGGCACGCTGCCACTGTGCCCTGCTCCTGTCTGCTGGGAAAGGGCCAGGAGGGCGACAGGGACGCTGCCGCTGGCGCTGAGGTGCCCTTTCTCTCCTCAGCCTACAACCTCGCCAAGGAGCAGCGGCTGAATTTCGGGGACGACATCCCCAGTGCGCTGCGCATCGCCAAGAAGAAACGCTGGAACAGCATCGAGGAGAAGCGCATCAACCAGGAGAACGAGCTGCACTCCCACCTGACCAAGCTGATCGTGGCCGAGAAGGAGAGGTAACGGGGCACCTGGAAAGGCTTTTTGAGTGCCACCAGGCTGTCACAGCTCTGTGTGAGGTGTCTCTGCAGAGCCCTGCATCAGGGAAGGCAGTGACAATGTTCCCCCATCCTCCTGATCTCCCACTCTGTCCTAGGGAGCTGGCGGAGTGCCGAAAGACTCAGGAGGAGGAAAACACAGACGAGAGCCGGAGCCGTGTTCAGCTGGCCAGCATCGAGGCCAAACACGTGAGTGGGGGGCTGGGGGCTTCCTCATCCCATCCTCATCCCATCCTCTGCTGCAGCCGGGGAAGCTGCAGGGCTGCAGCTGTGCAGGTGAAAGCTGGGAGACCTTGGGACACAGCACAGTAGCCTTCATTCTATAGCTCGAGCCACTCCCGCAGGGCTGTTGTGTCCCCCCATGATGGCTTCCCCTGCTCTGTCACCTCTTGTCCCAGCCTGGCAGCAGTGAGGCCTGCTGTGCCTGTTGTTCCCTGAGGAGTGGCTCTCGGCCACATGTGGGTCTGAGTGCTGGGGACTAATCCCAGATAGAAATAGGCCCACAAAGGAAGGTTATTTGTAAGCTGGATCACTCCTGCCAGGTTAGTCAGGAGCTGCACAGGCAGAGGGGCCACCGAAGACCTGCCACAACCCATGGTGGGAGGCTTTGGGGCTCTCCCTGGGGGCCTCTGCACACCAGGGACCCCTTGTCCTCAAGGGCTTGTCTTTCAGGACAAATACCTGGCAGACATGGACGAGCTCTTCTCCCAAGTGGATGAGAAGAGGAAGGTGAGTGTGGCCCAGCCTGTGCTCCTGTAAACCTGCTGTGTACCCTGCTCCCCGCTCTGAGCCAGCACCACCTCCCAGCCCCTTTCCTGACCCAGCTGTGCCTCTCTCGAGCCAGAAGCGGGACATCCCTGACTACCTGTGTGGGAAGATCAGTTTTGAGCTGATGAGAGAGCCCTGCATCACGCCCAGCGGGATCACCTACGACAGGAAGGACATTGAGGAGCATCTCCAGGTACTGCTGGGCCAGGGGGCTTTCCCAGGACCTTGCCTGGGTGGGAAGGCCTCTTTTTGCTCGACTCAGGGCTCCGCAGGCTCCTTGGGTTTGCTCCCAGTTACCTGCCCGGGCAGCTCCCTGTGGAGCAGGCGCTGCCAGGCCCTGCCCAAAGCGGAGGCGGCTCTTGGCAGGGGTCTCACACCTTGACCTGCCCTCATCCTGCTGGGAGGCACCTCCGAGGGGCTCTCCCCCTTGCCGTGGGCAGGTGCCCGGACGCAGGGGGCAGATGCCACGCGGCGCTGGCCTCACGGCCGCCCGCGCCCCGGGGCCGAGCCCGGGCACGTGGAGTAACCGGTTCCCCCGCGCCTCCTCCCCGCAGCGCGTGGGGCATTTCGACCCGGTGACGCGGAGTCCCCTGACCCAGGACCAGCTGATCCCCAACCTCGCCATGAAGGAGGTGATAGACGCGTTCATCTCGGAGAACGGCTGGGTGGAGGATTACTGAGGGGCCGGGGGCGGCGCTGGCCCGCCCGGCTGCCCTGGCACAGCCGGCTCTCCCCGGGCTGGCACCGTGCCTTACTCGCTCTCCGGCTGTCCCCGATCCGCCCCGGCTGCCCCGGGCCTGGCGCTGGGCGAGGGCACGTCACCACGTCCCCTTCCCGAGGAGCCGCAGCGGCTGGGCACCGCGGCTCCCTGGCTCCCCTCTCCCGCTCCGGGACCTGCCTGGGGGTTGGAATGCTGGCTCCTCGGCGGTGGCCCCACCACCATGTCTGTCACCCCCTCGGCCAGGGCAGCCACAGTCCCGCTCCAGGGATTGCCACAGGGGGCTTGCCGGGACGAGCACCTGGAGCCCCGTCCTTCCCTGTGTTTAGAGTTGTTTCCTCCTCCTTCCACCTCCTGCCTGGCCAGGGTTGGGCCCTCTTCCCAGTAAACAGCCACTTACTGGGATGCTGCTGCACCCTCTGGCTTTTCCTGGGAAACAACTGCCCCAGGGCTGGAAGGGGCTGGTTCCCACCTCCCCTTCCCCGCTGGGACTGTGGTTCCCTAAGAACAACCACCTGGGTTAAAGTTCTTCTTCCTTTTAATGAAATCCCTTAAAAACCCTACAAAAAATAACCAACAGATTTGCATCCAAGTGAGATTCCAGCGTTTCGGTCGGCCGACGGCCTGCCTGGCTTTTGAGCGCCCTCTGGAAGTTTGCCAATGTCCATTAAAAAATATATATATATAGAAAAAGAATAAAAAAAAATTCAGCAATAAACGTGGAAAAGGATCTGGAGTGGTTCACAGCAGCCATTTCTGGGGATATCCTGGCTGGGGAATCGCTGCCATCCTACGGGGACCAGGTTTGCTCCAGGGATGTAGCAACACACAGCGTGCTTCAGTAGAACAACTTTAATCCAAAGACCAGGGAACTGTCTCAGGCAGTTGGTCCCAATACCAGTGGCCTGTCCCTGAGGGTGGCAGGAGCTGGAGCTCCTGGTCTGGCTGGGATGGTGGTGAGGTGTCCTTGTCCCTGCCAGCCCTAGCCCAGGAAGGTGGAGATGAAGACGCTGGTGTCCAGGTTGAGTGTGGCGTGCCACCAGCGGTCGGGGAAGTACAAGACCTGCAGGGGACAGCAGTGGGGTCGCACGGCTCTGGCTGGGAAGCCTGGGGTCCCCTGCAGTGCTGGCTCACCTCCCCGGGGCGCAGGGTGCACTCCAGCGGGCGCTGGGCCGGCGGCAGCGTGGGATAGGTGTGCTGGAGCCAGGCCAGCGTGCTCTCGTTGGGGTGGAAGTGCGGGGTTTGGTCCGGCGGGTACAGGAACCAGCGCTGGAAAACACCGCGGGCACATCCCCTCCCAGTCCCCCTCCGGCCCCTCGGGCTCAGGGACACCTGGTAGGGGCTTGTTTCTCTCCCCCCTCCCCAAATCCCTCCCCTAGGGCTCAGTTCTCACCTTCCTGCCGAAAATCACCTCGGAGAAACCAGGGCCGTGCCAGTGGAAGGGAACGCCAGAGCCTGAGCCTGGTGGGAGCGGGAGGGTGGTGCTGGGGAGAGCCTCCAGTCCTGGCCCAATCCCATCCCAATTGCATCCCAATTGCATCCCAATCCCATCCCAATTCCATCCCAATCCCATCCCAATCCCGTCCCGCGGGTTCCCGTCCCACACCCACCTGCGATCCCAAAGCTGTAGGCGGGGCTGGTGCCCGGGATGCGGAAGGGAGGGGGCACGTAGTGCTGGAAGAGGGGGCCCCACTCGGTGAAGTTGTTGTCCCCGAAGAAGTAGAGGGTGTCTGGGGGGACACGGGAGCTGAGCCCGGCGAGGGGAGGGGGCTGCGGGGGACGGGACGGCGCTACCCACCGCTGCCCAGCCGGGCCGGGTCCTGCGGCTTCAGCAGGTGCTCCACGTACTCCTGGAACGGCACATCCACTGCGGGAACGGCGGGATGAGCGGGGGAACGGAGGGATGAGCGGGGGAACGGAGGGATGAGCGGGGGCAGCCGCAGCCCCGCCGCCGGGCACGGCCCCGCGCTCACCTTTGCGGTACGAGTAGGTGTTGGCCGTGCTGAGCCGCACCGGGAAGGGCCCGAAGGCTGCCAGCAGCTTGTCCCGGGTGCAGAGGGCTCGGAACGCCTGGGGGATGGAGCGCGGGGAGCCGGGATGCTGCCGCCGCTCCCGGGGCACCGGGAGGTGCGTCCCACCCGGAACCCTCTGTCCCCTCGCGGCACTCACCGAATTGTCCGTGACCCCACCGAGGATCACTGGCCGGGAGAAGGCGAACCTGGGGGCGGCATCCAGCGGGGTCCCGCACGGGCGGGGCACGGGGACCGGCACTGACCCACCCCGGGACACCGGGACCGGCCCCGACCCACCCCGGGGAATCGGGACTGGCTCCAAAGCACCCCCGGGGCACCGGGGTCCGTCCCGACCACCTTCCCCCAGGTTCTCCCCCGGGGCTCCCTGGTCTGCCTCCCCCCCGCCCCCCCAGTTCCCCC